TTTAGGTTAAACGATGAAATTAATTAATGAAATGATTAGTTAAACGATGAAATTAATTAATGAAACGATTAGTTAAGCGATGAAATTAATTAATGAAATGATTAGTTAAACGATGAAATTAATTAATGAAACGATTAGTTAAGCGATGAAATTAATTAATGAAATGATTAGTTAAACGATGAAATTAATTAATGAAATGATTTATATTTCTAATTATTGATAAGGTTTAATTTCAGCTACGATATAGATATTAGCAAACAATCACGAAATGAGGAATCAAGCATGACTGCAACTACCTCAAGCTCGAAATCATTAAGTGTAAGCACAAAATCAGCTGATAAATTTCGTGAAGGTGTAAAAACTAATTTCAATCTTGGCGATAACAATGTATTATCTATTTTAAAATCCAAAAATGATCCGGTTTGTTTTCATTTTTGAATTTGTTTTGCTTTTTTTTCTTTTTTTTTATTTTTGATTATTTTTGGCGATAGATAATAGAATGATTCATTCCGGAAAATAAAAATAAAAAATTGGAAGAAACCTGAACAGGTAAGAAGTAAATTGTTTAAGAAAGTTTTCGAAAAACTTTAGTTTTTTGATAAAAATCAATTTTAGCTGGTAATATTTCAGTTTTTCAAAAAAAAAAAAAAGGAAATTGACAAATTTTAAAAATTTATATTTCAATTATGCGAATGTTATTTTCATTGAAGTCCGAATTTTTTCATTTGCAATCTTTAGAAGCTATTTAGAATATAAAATGAAAGTTTTTCAGTGTAATTTATTTGTTAAAATATGATTAGAAATTTAGCTAAATGTAATTTTTTCAAGATCGTATTATACAAAATATTGAAATGTAAAATTAAATTCGAATTTTAAATCATATTAAATATCATTTATCGCCCTAAACTTATTAGACATTTTATTTTCTTTTTGAAACTTATTAGACAAATTTATTAGACATTTCATTTTTTTTGAAATGAAATTTATTCGACGAAATCCTAAACTTATTAGATATTTATATTTAATTTTTTTTTTTGTAAACTAAACTTATTAGACATCTAATTTCTTTTTTTTTTTGGTGACATAGTTAAATTTAAATGTTTAAAATGAATTTTACAATAATCATCCGTCTTATTTGACATCCATTCTTATCATTTCTTTGCATAATTTTCCAATGATCATTTTTTTTTTTTTTTTTTTGATATATTCACAATTCTACTACTCATATTATTGTCTATTTTACATTATGCGTAAAAAAATTTCAACAATATTAAATTTTTTTTTTTACACTTCAGAATTCGGTCATTTATGATTTACAAAATTCAAATGGTTGTAAAATACATTTGGAAAAAATGGACAATCGAGCGATGCTACTATCAGTGGATGATACTGGGAAACGTCTTTATATTAGCTGTAATTTTTAAAAAGAAAAAGGAAGGAAGAAACAGAAAGTATTTTGAATTTTTAAACCCTAATTAACTTTTCTAGCTAATTAACCAAATATTCGACATCCTTTTTTTCGAAGTTATAATATAAATTACAGCTGATAATTCAGAAAGCTTTTCTTTGGAATAAATTTTACGAAATTTAAATGACTCTAATTTTAATAACTTAATTAAATAACTAAAATTAATGTTACTAACTTCAGCTAAACAATTGTAATAAATGTGAACATTAAAACAAAATCTTCCGTTATCAATACATACATTGTGCACCATATTAGTTATGAAAAATTACTAATTAATTTAAAACTGATATTAATAATTTTAATTCAGTTCCAAAAATTTGAACTCTAAAAATTCCAGAAATATGTAATCGAAAAGCATAAATGAATGAAATAGGAAATTAAAAAATGAAATGAATGAATAAAGATATTAGCAGGAAATATTTGTAAAACATTGATTAACCAAAAGTCATTGTTGAACATTCCATTAATTTGTTCCTAAAAAAATTTAAAAATCATCATTGGATATTTGCGCAAACTTTGCCCTCTCATTTATACTATTTTTGCTTTCCTCTAAGTTCAGTAACTTTTTATTATTCATCCATGAGGTTATATTAGCAATCACTTCGAGATATTATTATTGGTTTTTCTTTTTTTTAGGAACAAATTAATTTAATCCGTTTCTTTTTAATTTGAAGCAAGAATATAATATTTGGTTTCATCGATTGGGTAGCCAAGTAGGCGTGCTTATTAACTTGACCAGCACTCATTTATAGCATTCTATTATGGTTGTGACAGTCACAAAAGTCACAAAAGATCAAAAAAAAGTCAAATCCTGAGCAAAACTGTTTTTAAGCCATTAAATATGATCTAATTTCTAATTTAATGAAGAAGATAATTAATCGAAAAGACAATTAAATGCAAGTTAGCAATCTCAAATTGGTTTTTGTTGAAAAGAAAAAAAACGGAATCTTCCGATTAATATAATATTCCTACCATCCTTTTATTAAGTTAATAAGTTCGAGTATAATGAAAGCATAGTGAGACAAAAGTAATGGGATAAAAATTCAATAAGAAATCCTTAAAAGCATCCTCATTCGATAGGAAAAAAAGTATTTGTTAATTAATTATTCGAAATTAAACCAATCTATAAATTTTAAATCTGAAGTCTTTAGTTATAACTCATTTTAAGAAATTTCTTAGATCTTAGATCATCTTACGAATGAATAGATTAAGAAAGTTGCGCTATGCTAACAAGTTAAACTTGTCCAGAAAAGAAAAAAACAACCGGATATAGTAAAAAAAAAAAAAAAAAAACGAATGAAATGATGACCTCACCCCTTCCTCAATCAAACATTCGAACTCATTTCTCTCAATAATTCCATATCCACCTAATTATTTAATTCAAAAATTTCTCACAATTTGTTCATTATTGTCCATCCTATTTATAGAAAACTACAGCAGCCTTTTTCAATACCAAAGCTTTCGACGGTCACTTTTTCTCAAGTAAAGCCACTTGAAATCAACTTCTGATATTTCAAGATTCTTTTTTTTTTTTTTTTGGGAGGAGAGGTCATATATTATCCTTGGATGGTATTAGGTTGTGTATTAGAAAATTAATGAAGAAATCTCTTCATGTTAGTAAAGAACTTTTCAAACTTTGCCAAAAAAACACCCAAAAACAGCAAAGACCCAAACTTTAATTTCTATCATGCATTTGTTTATTTCGATAAGCATATGTGAACCTAAATTATTCCGTGACCAAGTTATAAAAATTTATGGATGAGAATTTCTCTTCCTGTGGAACTAATATAGTATTCACCAACTATCTAAATAACAATAACGAACTTGGGAATCAAACATGTCATTCTTCATAAATTTTATTCATCATCACAACTGGTATACCTGTCATTACCATCATTAGAAAATCTTTTTTCTGTATTCAACTACTGAACAAGCTCCACACTCATCTAATTCATTTACTTCGTTCAAATTCTTTATTCCAATTTTTGGAAACTTTGTTGTTGTGAGTAAATTAATGCACCAAAATAAAATTATTAAACTTATCGCAAGCCAATATTTGCCATCCAATCGATGACTGGTGTTTAAGAAATGTTTCCAACAGTCCATCATATTGCTCAACCAGAACAGTATGAAAGACTGATGTTTTCTGAATTATAGAATAAAAATCGGAAATAATCAGCATTCGAAATGAATCACTTCAAGCTAAAAACCCGAGAAAAATTTTCCACGACTACTGATTAACCTTTTTGCCAACTGTTCAATTCCAGTGACACGGAAGCATTGAAAAACAATAAAGACATAAAAATACAAGGCTCTTTTTTGATGACTAAAGCGGTTGCTCTGATAACTAATTAATAAATCACCAAGAAGCTGACTTTCGAAATGTTACGAAGATTCGTGTTTTGCATTATGAAAACAGTTCGAGTTTGAACAAGATGCACTGAAAAAAGTAGTACCAATAGACATTACAGCGTTATTTACAGAATCAAGTGACGTTCAACCGTTAAAGGGTCAGAGATTTCAAAGATAAGGAAATGATCAATATTAAGACGAAGAATCTTATTTTGCATTACGATTGCACTACAGTATCCTTCGTTTAGGCTTCATTTCTTTATGAACAATTTTTGTTGATAAAGGACTGTTGAAATGTATTCATAGCCCTGGGCTATTAATCAAGCGTGCTAAGTTAATAATCACAGCTAATCGAAAAAAACACATTGTCGAATGAAATAAGCAACCTAAACAAGCTTCGAAATCTTCGTTGCAACTTCTGGAACCATAGTAACATTGACTTGTTTTGCAGTTCCCATTAAGGTATCATTTCTCTTTACCCCAATGTTTCCGTTGACTTCTTTCGATTGCTCTGCTTTCACTTGTTGCTTTTCTGTTTCATTTGGCGCTATTGAACTGTTCACCGCAGGATTAACTTCCAACCGTGCATGTGAATGAGCAATGTTTCGCACTTGCTGATGTAACAGATGAAAATTCTCGGTCTCAAGTCTACTTGGCAAGGATGCATCGAAATAATACTCTTTAAAGCCAACTGCAACTAATGAATGCAACAGCAAAATACTAAGTATTGTTCCAAAAGCGATCTGGAAAAAACTGATTTTCTCTTAAATTCATTTTCAATTAGAGATTGGAAATGAAATTAAGAAACCCTAGATGGGATATGTATATTCATTAATTTACCATTTACCATACCTACAAATGCCTTGGAAATTCAGCCCTTACTCCGCATACGGACAATCATTGGCATCCTATAAATTATCAGGAATTCTAGGAATAGCTGAACTTTCAGTGCATTAATATATTATTTCAACTTGGTACATTTATTTTTTTTGGCATGGAATTGCATGCCGAAAATAGTTTTATCACATGAAACATCCATCTATCTTTAACAATTACTGCTAACCTGTGAGATGGATGCATCATCTTTGTCATTTCGGTACACTGCATTCAAAGAGGTAACTTAATAAGACTCAACCATTGAATAAGATCGGTAAGAAATCGACCTTTAGCTTTTCAGAATCCTAATCACAAGAGACATAAGTTACCGAATAATTACTGCTGACTTTTTCGACAAAGTGACCAGTATTAAGACCAATAAAATTTCTAAAAAAATTTGTGCTGTGCTTACCGCTTTATTGCTATCGTTTTTAATTGCAGGCCATATGCTGCTTACAAGCACTGATCCACTTAGTGCAACTGATAAAAATATAAGAAGCCAACGAAACCACTGTGCTTGTAAAATCCAAAGGATCTGAAAGATATCGACAAGAAAAAATCAAAATATTGTTGATTGAAATTTGAAAAGAATAACAATTGCTACCACACTTTAACTAAATAGTTCATGATAAACGATACTAATGTCGTGGACTAGCAATGGTTTATATGTATCCATAACAACAGGGCTAGAAAAACGATGCCAGAAAATCAGCCAATATTTTTGAAACTGTCAAATATGAAGATGATAAAAAATCTATTTTCGACTTTTTCAAGTGAATTCAAAAGGTGTAAAGCGGCTCAAACAATGTTAAAACAATTCTAATTTCTTCATCACTTCCATCAAAAAATCAAATATCCAAAACGGTACATCTTAATACAAACCGATACAGGAACAAAGATTGATAGGCTATAGCCATAAGCGCAAAGTATATCCAAATATGAATATTGCAAATATGATTTGCGATACCAAAATAAAGAATAAAGGATAAATGGTACCAATACGACGTAGCAGAAAATAACTGTCGAAGCACCAGTAACTACACAAATTGTATGAGAAGTTAAGACAATCAATAAATATAATAGAATGATTTGAATTTCATCTTGGCTATAGATGTCCAAGGTTCTCACCTAATCTGAAGTCACTCCCATATTGGTAGCTTGCAATAGTGCCTGATGTTTCAATATATTTTGCAAGATTACCACAAATAGCTGTGGAAAATACCAAAGTAATGGATATCCAAACGGGTCCTGAAAATTGCTGCATAGCTAAATAAGTAAACGGTAAAATCCACAATTTTCTAAGTATTTCATTTAATATACCCCATAAATCTGGAAGTGGTTGGATATGATCAGTGATAAAATTGGACGTAAATCGTGGCAACATACTATACCAAATTCTTGATAACACCTGAAAAAGAAAATCCAAAAAAATATATAGGTCTAAAAACTAAAAATAAAATGCAACGCTTTCGTAGATAGTTCTGTACAAGATTAGCTCTACCCAAATGACCTTTAAAATTAGGAGGCAAAAATTCAAAACTCGAAACCCAAACCTGATCAGTGTCAACATCAAAATACTGCTGGTAAAATTCGAACGATAAAAAGTTCGTCTTCTCCCTCATATTACTTTGATTACTTATTCGATCAGATGTAAATAGCTGCAAAACTGAGTGGGAAAGCAGGCTTCAAACTATACTTTTACTCATTCTCACACCACTACTAACAGATATACCAAGATGAAATTCTCAGCAAAAACGCTTCCTGACAGCTATAATCCAACAGACTTTATTTGTTTCTTGTAGCTGGCACGCCAACAAGCGCCGAATGACACTATGTTGGAATTCGAAAGAATCAAAGGAATCACTCTCCAATAATAAATCGAAAATCGAGACAGAAACAAAACTGATTTGCAGGCGATAGCATCTTAACAACAGTATTATCACAGCGTTTTGATGCATATATCACTTACATAGGATTGATCTCCAAGCCCATCCGGAGGTCGAGGATCATTATTCGAATTTACGGTACTTGGCCCGAAATCTGCAAAAACACTCTACTCAGTATCATTAACATCGAGAATGGAATAAAAATGAAATAAAAATGAAAAAGAAGCCTACCTTGAAAGCTTAAATTATTCATTCGATCTGCTACGACTGAAATTATAGTTTAACAAAACTCAAACAGTGATGCACAAACAACAAGGAAACGATGAATTTGACGTCAAGGTTAAAATAACTATAAATTTGAATACCAGAAATACGAAAACACAAAAATGCACATAAGAACATCTTCAACATGACCTCAGAACGGTCCTCTGATTCACGATAGATCGGTCTGTTAGTTCAACATCCCATATACGAATGTACACTGTAATCTCAGCCCTGCTAATTCTCCGGTCCTATTCTCCTTTGGATGATAACAAAAATAAGTGAATCTTTCATTAAAACCCTTAATTCTATTGAAATAAACGACGATTTAATATATACGTGAAAAAAAAAAAGAAAAAAGAAAATAATGTAAAATACTCCAATCTATGGATACTTCTCCGAATAAAATGAATGACAAAAATTGGAAGGAAATACTTTTATTCTCTTCAACGGCACAAATGCATTAATTAATAGGAACACAGGCGAAAATATCAATACCGGATAGATCTAAACACAGTAATTGCAGTACTGGTATTTCGAAGAGACATACATTGTTCCCCGGATAGATTTGGATAGACTTTTACCTTAATAACTTTTGCTCCCAGAAATCCTCCCGATATTTCTCATTGTGCTTATCTTTAATGCTCTTTTATTTATTATGTTTAACCTTGAACAAGCCATAGTTATTACTTTGATGATAATCCAATGCTGTGTTTTACGCTCAGGTTAATAGGCAAAAGTGTATATTTCTTCAATGTTATAGCATCGTCAAATCACTGTTTTACTTTTGTCGTATACACATAAGTGTAGTTTCATTCAACGAATATATGAATAACCTTTCCAGGTTTGGGAAATTGGGCAATGTATGTGAACAATTGATTCTGTAAGTTTCAGAAAAGCAAGCAAAACAGACCACACAATTCAGGAATTTCTTTTGCAACATTAGTCGCAAAAACTATAACAATTACGGTTAAGTATGAAAAATATACCCCAAATAATCACACAAAACTCGCATAACAGTATAATAAAAAAAAAAAACAAAGCAAACAGACAAAACACAGTGCCTCGCCTCGATGTATATATGCAGATAGATTTTTAACTGAAATCCAAAAATCTGAATCTCATGTGAAATTTTAAAAGTTTACTTTAAGAAAGGCTCAGTGTTATGTCATATATTAGCGATTCCTAAAAAACTCAATAAAATACAACTCTAAATAGGGAATACATTAAATACTATTGAATTATGGGTTCAAATTTGGAAGTAAACCGTGATTCTTTTTCAAAACTCAAATCTTACACATGTGATATATTTTCACAAGTGCAAAAACAATGAAACTTTGAAATAGCTAACGAAATTCCAAGTGTAAACAAAATTCAATTTGTAATTAAGAACCGAAATTTATCATTCTATCATATAATAAGCTCATTGTCCAGATCAAGTAGTAATCCTAAAATTCAGAATCTGAAAGAATCTTAACTAGACCAACTATATTGGAAAAATAAATAACAAAAGGAACCTCCTTGAGCATCAGATATATATCATTCGATATTGAAAACAATTGCGCAAAACAAATGCCTGTCTTTACTCCGTCCTTGAATTTTTAAATTCCCAGTCTCTAACCCTGTAGAATTCTCATGTTTTTTACTGCCTCTTTCCCTATCATATCAAGGATAGAAAGACAGCAACAGAATACGACAGAGCTTTCAACATAATGCTTTATCCACAATTGTTATCAGAATATCTCAACTCAAAAGTTCCGAAAAAAAGACACAAAAATCACAACTTGAAAGCAGAGGGTTCATTCAGAAAATCTGTCAACTTGATAAAACCCTTAACATAAAGCAAACTGAATACTTAAGGAAGTCAGGAAAAAAAATCAGTTTCCTAGTTTGCACGTGGTTATTTAAATTTAGCTCTTCATAATTCACCATTCTTTTCAATAGCAATAACGAATCCAGCACAAAGTTCATTTCTTTCAACGACGATCTTTATCGCGGTGCGCCGAAGAACTGTGGTATCGACGTGGTGAACTTTCTCTGAGAAAATTTTGGAAAAAATTCCTTGAGTTTACATAAATCTTAAGCTTAGAAAAAACAGATGAAAACATAATCATAAAAAGAAGTTGACACGGCAATTTCGCTTTGAATATAGTACGGTTAAGAACAGAGACCTAAAGGTCTGAATGAGACGAGAAAATCTGACATATTACATAAAACTACTTTACCGAAGCCTCATGTTGCTAATACTTTGTTAATCATCAATTCATTACAGATCTTATTTATAGATGTTTCTTAACTTCCCATAAAAATTACCTTTCCTTAAAAATGTAACTCAAATGTCACTCATTTCCTCATCAGAGGGATTCTTTGAAACATTTTTTAGTACCATCACAACTCGAAAATTATCTAGTTTTCAAAATTAAAAGACCAGTCTTTGATACCTGCACAAAACAAAATAAAGATAATCTTGATCAACATAAAAAACTAACTTGCACTGACTACTGCGTTGGCCGTGACGGCTTCTATCCCGGTCATCTTTGTTACTACGTTCGTCTCTACGCTCGCGATCCCGATCCTTCTCCTTTTCCTTATCACGAGTTGAATCACGATCTTTAGTCCGGTTATCACCTTTTTCCTTCTCACGTTCAACATCTCGGCTGGGACGTTTGCGTTCTTCTTCACTTTCGCTTTCTTCGCAGGAACATTCACCGCCACTGCACGAACAGGAGCAACTGGAATTTACGACAACAAACATTATAGTATATGAATTTTCTTTGATTACTACAAGAAACTGATTCTTAATGCATTAGGATCTATTCCCTGATAATAGATGCACTCGATGGTAACTATACTATGTGACGCTTATTTTTATTTTCAAGAATTGATTCAAACAGAAATATAAAAGGCAGTTTTCAAACCAGTTCATGTTTTCCTAAACTTTGCAGTTCATCCAAACAGTTATCAATCATGGGAAAAATCAGAAGCCTTACTCTGTTGAATATCTTGATTCGCTCCTTACTTGAGTTTCCGTAGCTGATGATGCAAGGGCAGCTTTACGGGCCGCTATTTTCGCCTTTAAATTTTCTACTTCGAATTCATCCGCGCTTAAATCGTACTTATCCAAATCGGCATCATTTTCATCTTCTTCGTCCTCCTCCTCTTCCACCTTTGAGAAAAATAAGGACGTAATTTCGACAGAATCTAGTCTTGTTAATATTACCGTTTAATATTCCAAAGTTCAGGCATCTAGTCCTCAACTGTTAACTAATCTCCACCCCATACTACCATTTGCACAAATTTAACCACGTTAGCATTTAGGGGGGAGACGGGGGGGGGGGGGGAAAGGAAAAAAACTACCGTATTTAACATGGTCTAGTATCCTATCCTAAACAATACTTCTAAAAAAAATAAAAAGCAAACCTCAGCATGTTGCATACCTCTTCATCGTTGTCACCTGACACAGCCTCTTTGCCATCGCTTTCCTTTTCTTCAGTTTTTTCTTTTCCTTCTTCACTTCCCTCTTCGCTGTATTTCACACATTCCTCTGGTCCAGTGATCTTCTGCTCCTAAGATAAAACATGTGGAGGGAAAATTTTTAAACTATGAAAGATACAGGTGTAAACTTTTATTACTCTAAATTATCTCGCCAATCTTTGATGCTCAGGTCCTTAAAATAGTGCAAATGAATGCAAAATAGAGCATATGGATCAAAATTCCTGGGAAAAGTTCGTGACGATAGATTTTGGGCATCCCGGCCTGATCTAGTCCGCGGTCTGATCATATGTGTGCTATTTGATATCTTCTTTTGATAGCTCGTTTGAAGATTCAGTTTAAAGTTTGGTTTTCTTCTTTGAAATTTAGTTTTTTCTGTTATTTTAACGTTTGTTTTTGAATTAAAGATGAATGTTTTTATTGTTTTGATTCAGGATGATTTTTATAGTGTGTTGTCCTTTTTTCACTTTTGTTCTCTTTGTATTTTTTAAGTATTATGTGGAATGGTATTTTGGTTAGTATAATTTTTTTAGGATTTTTAGTACAATTTAAAAATGTATGGTTGCAAATCATCCCACTATGTTTTGATATTTTGAACCATATTTGTAATTGACACCTCTTCTGCTTTATTGTCTAATTTTCGCCGTTTCTTTTTACGACCGAATTCATCGAATTCTTCGTCATCTTCTCGTTCGATATATTCAACATTCTGTCGATCCATATATCCACCACCGTAACCTGAAAAATAACGTACCGTAGGAAAGCATATTTTCACTTTAACTTACGAATCTATCTAATTATTAACGATAAAACACGATTTGCTTAATAATAAATGTACCAGATTTCCTACTTCACTAATTTCCTATTTGTGCTTACTTAAATCATTTATTTAGTTGGTTTACAAAACCTACCAGTTCGTACTTCCAGATCACCCAGTTTTGGTGCATTACATATATTACACGCTGTTCTTCGAGCCCAATTTACATTGCCACATCTAAAATCTACCGATGTATATTTCATGATAAGCACCAATTCTATGGATATGATAAAGGCTAACTAACCTTTAATCTTCATTAATCCAACGAGGCATAACCTATACACATACATAAACAAACTTAACGATTCACAACTTTTCAAATCGATACCATTATGCCTTGTTCATATCACACATCATATGTAATTCAATGTTATTTTTACGCCGATTATGTTCTCAAATATCACCTTCAATTCAAGTAAAATGCTGTGGTCATCTAAAGCAAAAGCACATTAAAACTAACTTAGTGCAAGCCCAATCTTCAGCAGCAAACAATCCTTTTGACTTTTCCGCTGCATCTTTTCCAATTTCACGGCCTACACGGTTCTTGGAACGTGGTTTAGCTTTGCCGCAACGTTCGCACACACTAACACGATCTGCATTGATGTATGCACATTTTGCATCAACGCATGCCCATTCACCGTCACGTAAAGCGCGTCGATGAGTACTTGGTGCAGTGACTACGTTTGAAGCTGTTTGACGCTGCCGCTCTAAGTAACGTGAAGCATCATCTGAACTCATTGCACAAGACACCTTCAACTGAAATGAAACTTTTTTTATGAATGAAAAAATAACATGTGTACCTTAAACATCTAACTCACAAATAATGAGTGTAAATGATTGCAAAATAAGTAGGTATATCAATAATGAGTTGAAATAATTGTAATAAAATGAGTAAACGAATAAATAAGTATAAATGAAAAAAGACAAGCATATACAACAAGTAACAAAATAATAACGATAAAAATGCATTTAAACATGCCAATTGTAAGTGTAAGACAAAAAATTCAATTCAGTAAAAAATTTCAAACTTAAAAAGAAAAATAACTTAAAAAAAGAACCATATCTTTAAGATCAATAATTAAACATTGATAATGTGTAGACCGTGCAACCCGCCTGAACACCCCTCCACAAATGCTACCGTAACTCATGTTACCAGTACGAGAACCAAAACATCACTAATCGCGCTAAAATTTGCTTTTTAAACGTAATATATTTGAAAGAAATATCAATTAACAGCCAATGATATTCATCAATTCACTCAATTTTTTCATAATATCAGATTTATGTTTGTATAGGACGAATGAACGTCAATACATGTACACGTGAGAACGTGAATACGTGAGCATGTGAATGTCCCTGAATTTGAACGACTTGTCAGTGATCGGTTACGTTTAATAAATCCGTTAAAATTTTTGATAGCAAATTAACTGGCGTATTTTATAACTTACATGTAGAATATTTTATCTTCATATTTATAGAAAGAAGCATAAAATTAAATTTGTAAAATATGTTGTAAATTCCTCAAATTGATTCATTCCTTATCAAATGGTAATGCTATTATCCGGAAGGAAATGAAAATAATTTTTAAGAAATATTAATTACTCTTAATAGTTAATGTTAAAATTTAAACATGTATAAACTAACCATTGATTCAATTTCAAAATTCGATTCCAACAAATAATCGATCGTTTAAATTGATTTGATGGAATTATAAACATCTTTTGAAAATTTGTTTTTCAACCGAATTTTCAGACATGTCATACTTTGTTCTTCTGCTTTCTGGACAATATTTGTTGCTGTTTTCTCCAAAAAAGAAAAAAAAGTAAAAATAAGAAAGTAATTCCTCAAAAACCCATATGATAGGAAGAATATTTCACAATGATAAAATTCCATTCAAATTTAGTTACCATTTCATGAAACAATTTTTTTACATTTCCAATTTGCATATTAGATTTACTTAGTTTTGCAATTTACATATTACACTTACTTAAATTTGAATTTATTTTTACGGTTATTTAGTTAAGTCCTGTACAGATATAATTTTCTGGCATGGAATACAGATGTAAGTTATAATTAAAACCAAAATTTCTTATTAAAACAGTAAGAAATTCTGATTTTTTTTCTGATTCTTTTCCTAAATTTATTATTATTAAAACTAAAATTTTTTATATGATAAACAAGCTTATCAAATTTGCATGTTATTTCTGTGTTTTTAATGAGTATTCAAGTAATCCATTCCTTTTCAAATAGTTCATTTTAATTATGTATTCTAATAATTTACCAATGAAACAAATTATAGCAGGGTAAACTATAAAATTCTTTAAAAAAGCTTCTCAATTTTTGATTTAAATTCATGATGAAAACTATTTAAAAATTTTCAATTCCTTTCTTTCTTATAGCTTTCACTAGCAAAAAAAAGACAGAATGTTTTTACAAACATGAATGCGCATGAAATACAATGTTCAATTTAAATTCAAATTTTTATACCGGAGCTATGAAGTGATCAATCATCCAGAAGTGTTATCCGTTATTTTCCGGAATTATTTTTTCATATGACAAAAGTATTCAATTCATTGTTGCCAAAATTCACATCGAAAACGGTAGCATTTTAAGTGAGTGATAAAATCAACAGTTGAAAAAATTTGGAAATAGAAATGTCAAAAAAATTTGCAGCATTGATTTCGTAATGAATGATAAGCGTAAAGAGAAGTTATCGGGAGGTGAAAGTTCACCTAAAGGTAAGCAAACATTATCATTTAATTTTATCTTTTGTTTTCAAATCATTAATTCATGTTTTTTTTTTTGTAATTAAATTAACTCTTCATAGTTTGTATGATATTGTAATAAAACGATGTTTTATTGTTAGGAACTGTATGAAATGGAATGATTAATAGGTGATATTTCGTAAGATACCGAAAATGTGTCAAAGGTCATGAAATTGAGTCAATTTTAGGTGATATTTCGTAAGATACCGAAATGTGTCAAAGGTCATGAAATTGAGTCAATTTTAGGAGTAAATAAATTTTATCTATTTATATCATGATATGTATATGAATATAAGGCATTTACAGTGCATTTACAGATGTTAGGAGATAGGCTGAAGAAGTTTAAATACTTCAACAGATATTTTAACATATACTCTGTTAATTGTCACATTTTCATTCATTAAAGTAAATGTCACAATTTGCCATCCGAAAACTCACTCTTATAACGATCTATATTCAGAAAAGATACCGGATTTGAATGATCCGGTATCTTTATATCATCATTTTACGAGTTACTGATGTGTCCTGTTCCATCATTTTATTTTTTTTCTTCTTTGTAACTTTAACCTTCTTTATTACA